AGTATTTTAAATACCTCTTTAAAATTAATTGCTTTTAATAGTTGAATTACAGTTTTTAAATTGATTAATCCTATTTTTGCAATCAATATATAATCTCCAACATTAGGAGACATCCTGCTTATTTAAAAATTGATGCAGCATCAGTCTGTCAAACTGTTTTTGTGTTAGTTGTTGATGCAACAATTTCTCAGTGTCAACACTAGCTAGCCAAACTGCCAAAATGTGCTTACAAGTAAAAGCAGAACTGTTCGTTAGCACAAATTGTCTATAAATGTATTACAAAACACTTGAAACAAGTTTTATTATATACACACATATGTATATCTTTTTAAAATATAGTTAGATAAACAATTTATTCTAAGGTTATACCTGTAAGCAGCACAAATACAATAATTTACTCGAGGAAAAAGTGTATACAGTGCTCCAGAATGTCCTTTAACTTGCATCAACCAACTGGCTTCACTTATATTTTTGCAATGCTCTGTTACAATTGCATTACTTGTGGAAATTTGTATCACACGTTTATGTTCATACAAATCCAAGGCTCTTTCAAATACTTTATTAAAGAGCTTATATAATTTTAGTAAAATTTGATCAGAAACTGAAAATGTGTATTATCAAAAATACGGTATAATACAGGTTAATTATTTAGAATACCACAAATAATCCGACTCCACTTCAAACAGTATTCTATTTATGCTCATTTGATGCGGTTGTGCATAAAACGAAAAATCTGGCAGTAAACAGTTAAATATAAACATTAAAATATCTTAATGTTCAGGTTAAAAAATCTATCAATATGACAGAATGTGAGCAATGATTATGATTGTGTTGCGTATGCATTTGCAATGTATGTAATTCACGCAAAAAATAACACTTGAAACATAAGATAAGTTTTTTAATTCATTGATAAAGTAAAACTCTCTATGATACATAAATGTAAAATTATGTTTTAACACATGAACGTTAAATAATGGTTATAAATGTACAATTTAACACAATTTTTAAGGTTCTGCGCAAAGCGAAGTTTTACATTACAATTTCTTAAATCTAACCTGCGTTGTGCTTTTAACCTCTTTGGTACTTTTTACTTCCCTTTTTAATTTTTGTGATTATTTGAGAGAGCAAAACAAGCTTAGAAACTCAACACACCAAAGCCAATTTTTTGCACCAAATAAACAGTGTTTAAAAAAATCTTTTTTGCAGGGTACAAGATCTGAACTGTTTTCTGTTCTAGTGTAAGGAATATGTTTCAAGATTTTTCAACCACAAGTTGAATGCTGTTGTGTCTCAAATCCCACTTGACTCCACTAACAAGCTTGCACATATTCTTTAATAATCATGTCATAATAGTTATTCATAATTGTTTCTGATAGTGGAATTAAGTTTTGAAGTACAGCCTATTTTATGCCGATGCTTTTTTTCTTCAACTTATTTTTTCACTGATATTTTAATGAATGCACTCAGTATGACTGCAGACTGTGCACATGTGCTTGAATTTATAGTGTATAGATCTATTAAAGCTGTTAAGTCATGAAAAAGTAAAGTTAAAGAAAAGTTATTAAATAACTACAAGATTTGACAAGCTTAGAAAGTACATGTCTAGATAGGAAAAGAAGAAGAAACTCAAATGCTTAGTCTTTTGTTCTCCCACATAAATAAAAATAAAAAACTTAAGGGAAGAGAAAGTATTGCATAGAAGTTATAATGTAATGTGGAATACAGAATATCTTACTGCTTTCAACTATGAGCATGCTCATGTGGTCACATTCTATCAATATAACTTGACTAATGTCAAGTATCACCAACTTTAATACTAGTAACACTTTAATCTTAATAAGTTGCTTGACAGCTTATGACAGACAGTTTGCTCAACAACACTGTTTTCTGTTAGATTCTTTTATGCAACTGTGTCAAATAAGTATAATTTTATCTATATCCAAGGCAGTTAGTATTTTAAATAATTATAACAAGTCTCAATATTATTCTATTACATCAATGTTTTATTTATTTATTCACTATATAAGTTTTCTGTTAATAAAAGAAATTACAAATAAAACTTTTTTTTGTTAAATAAAACAAGAAGCTGAAACTACATACATTTCTTTTCTTTCTTGAAATCAGTAACTGCTTCTTTCAGTAATTCATTTACAAAATCCATATATTTCTCATCGTACACAAAAGGTGGTGAACTGCTAATGCCTGGTACTTGTTGGTCCACACTCATCGGCTGCATTCAGAAGCAATAATTAAAAAAGTAACATATTTAATAATAGGCGATTTTTGGCGATCGTATGCAGCGTTGCCGTGGAACTTGCCTTCTTCTTCTTCTTTGCACTTATGGCTCCGTGCCCCTTCGTGGAACTTGCCACACGTGACGTCACGCAGTAGAGAGATAAAGAGGTACGACTCGTACCTCTCTATCTCTCTACTGCGTGACGTCACGTGTGGCAAGTTCCACGGCAACGCTGATCGTATGGTACGTATACCAAAGTGTACCAAACTATAGTTTGAGTGACTTTAAATTATAGTTTGGTACACTTTGGTATATGTACCCATGGAGATAAAGGAGGGAGCATTAAGGGATATTATAGGCGCGGGGAGTGAAGCCATAGTGCGGGGGGGGGGTTTGACCGTCAGCCATGTTTATATNGGCTACTAGTGCTGCTATCTATGTGATGAGAGTGGTATTATTTCAACACATTGAGAGTAGTATTATTTGACGTTGATGCGTATTAATCTGTTAGGCTGTGTTCAGTTAAGCAAGATGGAACGAACTAATGCAGGAAATGCAGGAAATACAGGAATTGGAACTAATGAAACTAATGAAACTAATGAAAGAAGTGAAAATAGTGAAAAAAAAGAAGGTTGGCTCCCCTGATCTGTTGCGGAACATGTGTAATGGCAAAATTGGAACCGAAACAATTCTTTAAGTTTCCATTCCGAAGAAAGTGAAAAAGGAAACGAGAGAAGGCGGC